TTCTGTGATCCTAACAAATTTACCACGAGCCAACAGGTTAATTTGGACGCCCGTCTCCTCCTCCTTTCCCTTCCTTGGATCTGTATGGTATAAAAGCACATTAACTTCCATCTACAATGTCAACACAATATCTGTTGAAAGGGGGGAGCAGAAGGAAGGGTGAGAAAAACAGGGAAGAGGTGATGTAGTAGGTGGAAGGCAACAGAATTAGAAAGGAAAAGACTTTTTTAAATTATTCAGTGTAAAATGAAGTTACCATAGAAACTGCCACTCACATGGTCTAAGCATACGCTGGCTGTTAGATATTACTCACCTTCACAAAGGGGACACGCTTCTCGCACATCATACAATTGCTTATAGGGGGGTTTGGGGGTGGGGGTTGGGTTATAAAAAAAAGAAGTTATTGGCTGTCGGATGCTGATTACAGCAAGGAGCCTAGTAACTACCACTGCCTTCACATTAGGGCCCAAGGCTAAAAGCAGCTTTTTGCTTCCCGTAATCCTTCTGCAGCAAGACCGAACCGTCGCTGCTCTCCGGGAGCACTGCTCGATGGCTCTTGACATCATTATATGCCAAGTCATCCTTCCCAGAGCTCCTGCGAGAAGGATCAGTAGCGTTCTGCCGGTCTTGCAGACTGGAAACACAGAGCAGTTACCCGACTAGCTAGGGGTTAGCACAGTGCTTGGGGATTCCTGGCACCATTAATTCATGCAGCTTAAAATACACACACAGAGGAGTGTTAACGGTGTAACAATTGCTCAGATAACTGCAAGCACAGACTTACTGTTCAATCATCACTCCCCGTCATCCTGTACAGAATTTAAGACCTAGATTTGATGATTATTTACCGTGGGAATCAAACATATGAACTTCAGTCTTTATGAAACGGATTATATTACAACTAATGGGAATCCTTGCTCTCTGATCTGAAGCATAATGTCTTTTATTGCTTTGCTACTTAACTGAGCCGGTCATCTAGAAGAGATCCGGACTGAAACGTGGAAGGGATGTGTGAATGCATTCCCCGCCCTTTGCCCCCCCATTTCTTCCAAAGAGCTCTTTCCTAGGGACGAGTCCATCAATAGCACCATTCAATGTACCGTTTACTTCTTGACTTATTAAAGAGTTACTGTATGACTCATGTATTAATTTTTAAACATTCAGAAAGTTCAAAATGTATCCACAATAAATTGCTATCTTTGTTCTGGAATATGTCAAGGGCTATAACTTGTTACTGTGCCAGGGGATGCTCGATTCTTTTTGAAAAGTCCCCTCGAGGACGCAGGGGACCGACTTCTCCAAAAGAATCAGGCATACGGCGTTGCAAAGATTCAAGAGATGACACAGATGCTGCTACAAGGACACGGGACTTCTCTAGCTCAAGTCAACAGCGCACTTAATTTTAAAAGTTTTGTTTTAAGGAGCAGCAGTGCCTAGAAAGTACTTCTCAAATTAAACCAAGAACTGTGAAACACCAATTTGCTCTCTCAAGTTACTTGATTTACATCCATCAGGACTTCACCTAACTATTCCTTGCAATGCGTGATAAAAGTAATTTATATCAAGCAGGAGACAGGTTTAAAATTAACAAGTACTTTTTTCATGCAGCGTACACTTAATTTCTGGAACTCATCAGTGTAGGAGGTTGTAGAGGCAGAGAATATAACCAGATTCAAAAAAGGAACTAGATAAATGGGCCCATTAATAGCTATTAAACAGAACAGTCAGGGATGTCTCTCTAAGCCAATGACAGTGGATAGGCCATTCTAGACGTGCCCTGGGGATACGCTCTCCCTCTAAAGCAGAGGTCCATGGCTACATCGAGCCTCATATGCCATGATAGCACTGCCCCTTCCTTGGCTTGCGCGTCCCGGGACTGGGCCCTGGTGTTGCACCCCCCCCACACACATTTGGGCTCAGGGATCTGGTGCTGCTCCTTCCTGGGACTGGGTCCTGGGGTCTGGTGATGGCATCGTGCACTGGGGTTGGGTGCTTGATCAGCGTGCAGGGCTTTGGGCACTACATGGGTCTAGAAATTTGGCGGCAGGGGGGGCCCACCACTCCCCCACCGCCAAACTTCCAGCCCTGTGGGGAGTCCCACCATGGGCCAGATGTAGCCTGCGGGCCAGGGGTTGAGCACCCCTGCTCTAAAGCATCCACTCCTGCCACCGTCAGAGACGGACGCTGAGCTACACGGACCCAAATGGTACTTACTTTCTTGCGCTCTAATTTCTGAAACAACCCCCAGAGGCAGCCTCTCATCCATGTAGTACAGAGCTCTTTAAATGACACTTTACATCTGAACTTTAAACCAAACTCTGCAAACACAGAAGAAAAATCAACCCAGTTTTCGCTCCAATTACCTGCATAGCCGGCAGGTTCACGTTTCATCTTCCACTTCTCCGATGAAACGAGGCCCCAAAATATCTGAGGACAGAACGCAGCTATTTCCATTATTTAAAAAAAATAAAATGGGATTGTTCCTGGAAGATGGGGGTAGGCTTTCACTTAACTAAACCACCACGGGACAACGGCCGTGCTGCGGTCCCTACAAAGAACCAGGCATTTGTGGAACCGTTTTCATCATCCCCAGAGCTGAACAACCACATTTGTGATTGAACCTTAAAATGAGTTTACAACTTTCAGCACACAAATGGGACAAATCACACAGACAGGTGTTTGCTTTGTACAGCTGCACACGACAAGATAATTTCTAGCCCTTCAGAGACGGTTAACAATACTTCGTGATATTAAGCATATGAAGATGAGCTTTTCAGCAATAACGCCAAAATCTGACAAAAAGAATCATTAAATTTAGTTAATAAAGTTAGGTTTCTAATGGCAGCACGTTTAAAATAGCAGAAATGAAAGAAAAGAAACGGTTTTCTTGGAGTTTGGATAGCTTACACTTCTCAGAGAAGCACTGGTCCCTGTTTCAAATCTACTAGCTTGGGTACTCCCCTCGCACATCCTGCAATAAACCGCAACCATCTCAGCTGAGATCAGTGAAGTTTCCCAAGGGAAAATTGATGCAAGTGAAAGGCGAATCAGCTCCATTATTTTTGGAAAAGCTGTCACTTCCCGGGATCTACAGCCTGACAAACTAACTCACACGGCTCGCATTCTAGCTCTGGATTCAACAATTGTTCCACTATTTAAACACAAAAATAACTGGAAATAGAGTGCGATTTAATCTGAATGAAAATCCCCTTTGCATAGGGGAGCTGTAACAAACTTACACTTTATGATGCCCATCAACATCTAGAGAAGTCAAATTAATCCCAAGCAAATTTTACCAAAATAACCCCAATTAGACACCCTTTAGACTCTAAATGCCCAATGCGTGAAAAACACATTATGTTACCACTTGTGCCATGGAATTTGGTTTCCTGTACCTCTAAAGCAGCTGTATAAATGCAATTACTGAATTTACCTAGTCAGTCCTAATGGCTAAGTACAGACATTCGAGGTGTTAGTGGGAGGCTAAATCAATTCAAATGACTGCCCGATATCAGGTAAGTTAGGGTTGGCGGGGTAGCCGGGGGTGGTGGTTGGGGGGTCCAGCAGAATATAGGGGATTGAGGGTCTGCTGGGGGATGGGGGCAGGTGTGACCTATGGGTGGGATGAGAGGGTTGGGGAAAGGCAGAACCTGTGGATGGGGGAGGTTCCCCCCCCCGCCCGCCCTCTCCCCACCGGGACTTATTTGCTCGGCTCCAGCAGCAGCAAATTCTGATAAAACCGGCTGTACCCAGTGCCTTGTCGGATGGGGGTTAAGCGTGCTGGCTGGGAGGGAGCAAGGGGCCGGGGTGGGGCAAAAACCAGACCAGTCTGGGGCAGTGCAGGGGAAGCGGACACAGGTTCCATGCACTGGTCTGACCGACACCGAATGAGTCGGATACTACACAGATCCAGGTTTATGTTAAACCGGGTCCTGCAATTTTTAGACAGGTTTGTGTGCGTCGAACTTCTGTACAGTTACAGGTTTAGACTGACTGCCGGTCACTGAGACCGGGTCTGGAAAAGTAAGGTCAGTACCAGGATGAATTAAATCAGGCAGCCATTCTGAACTCGATTTAAGGTCCCGAACGTCTGTACTTAACCAATATACACGAGACAAAGAAGTAGGAATATAGACCTTTCCAAGTACATTTATAACATAAATACGCAATGCAACTTCCAACAATCTTGGGTTCTGAATATTTTCTCTCCTCATATTTTAAATGAAACAAATACATATTTAATTCAAATAACGTGTAAATCATGCGTCAGTCTCAATTTCTCTCAATTTAAAAATAGCAATAACATTAACCAGCCTTGCAAGGCTTACTGGAAGCTTAGTTTATGCCTAATCAAGTGTTCAGAGATTCTCTAATAAGAGGCAGAAGTGAATGTATTATTTCTAATATTATCTTAATTCCTCAATACCTGGAGACAACAAATGAAAAACAGGCTAACAAGGGCATTCCCCAGAGCTTCCTACACTACACACAATGAATATCTGCAAGACAGATGGTCGAGTTGATGTCCATTTGCAGCAACTCCCAGAAACAGCAAGAGCTACTTACCACCACCGTTTGCCCTGGGAATTTTTTTTCCTACCATGTCTTTACATGACATCCCCTGCATTGGCAGCAGCCATTAGGAGTGGCATAGCATTACAGCAATGGTTTTCAACCTTTTTTCATTTGCGGTCCCCCCCAAAATTTCAAATGGAGGTGCGAACCCCTTTGGAAATTGCAACTGGTGGCGTGGACCCCTCTGAATGCTAAGTTTGGGTATTCACATACTTTTGATTGACCACAGCCATCTTTCACGGACCCCTTAGACAGAGTCTGTGGACCCCCCAGGGGCCCGAGGACCAGGGGTTGAAAACCACCGCGTTAGAGAATTGATTGAGGCACCGACTATTACACTGGGTACATTTAAACACCTACTTACTTTCTGATATCCTGATTTGCTACCTGCCATGACATTCGGATTGCTATGCAAGCAGGATTACCTGTAAACTAGTATGTCATCAGAAGAGCTGTTATACTGAATCTGGTACATTTTTATTCCAGGGATGTGATGCTGGGAAGGCCACTGTATGAGAGCAGAGGATGAGGTCAGCTCAGCAACCACAACCTTCTCTTGCTGAGCTTTAGTTTCATTGGGGAAACTTGACTTGGCTGATATAAGAATGTCTGAAGGCCCCGGCTCAGCGTCTTTGTCACAGTTGGTGCTGTTAGCAAGATTAGGATAAGGATTAACAACCAGTTCAACAGGAGCTGTGGACTCCCCAGCAGCATTGGATGCTATGCAGGTAAATGTGCCTTTTTCTGTTAGGGAAGTAGATAAAACATCCAGTGTCCCATTCTCATAGGAAATTGTCCTAGACGTATTGGAGACCAGCTTCCCTTCGGGCGAGATCCACCGAACATAGGGATCCGGGTCACCGACGGCTTTACATTTCAAAGAGACGCTTTGACCTTCCATGACCACCAGTTTTGGTGTCCGGTGGGTTATCATTGGCGGTTCACAGACAAACTCCTCCTCTTTAATGGTCCAGAAGTATTTGCCCATCAGCTCAGGTGGTGAGGCACATGTTTCTAGATCATCTTCTCTGGTGAGGCGTCTCAGCCACACTAATTCACAATTGCAGTGCAGAGGATTTCCTCCAAAACTAAGCACCAGAGATGATAATGGAGACCCTTTTGATTTAGCATACACAGGTATTCTCGAGAACAAAGGATCAGGGGGGATCTTTTTCAGCTTGTTGGATGTCATGTCCAGTCGAGCAAGTTTGTGAAGGTTTGAGAAGATTCCTTCTGGAACAAACTCAATGAGGTTGTGATCCAAACTCACTGTATTGACATTAGACAACTTTCCAATGGTTTCCCAAGGAATATTAACTAAATTATTATAGGATAGATCCAGATCCTCAATGGTTTCAATGAAGTCATCTAAAGACCCAGGGGAGATATAGTTTAATTGATTGTTACTAAGTATTAGGTGGCGCAGGTTAATTAAACCTTTGAAATGATCCTCATTGATATAAGTCAGTCTATTACTATCCAAGTGCAATGCGTGAAGGCCTTTAAGATCAAAAAATGCATAAGGCATAATTTGACTTATTGTATTTCTTGATAGTGTCAAATGAATAAGGTTGGTCATATTTGCAAAATCCTTCCTCCTAAGGGTGGTGATGAAGTTATCCATTAGCCTTAGTTCTGCTGTTCTTCTGTCAATGCTGGGGGGGACAAACAGAAGCCCAGTCTTTGTGCAAAGGATGGTGAAGGATGGAGACAGGTTTTGACACATACATCGTTTTGGACACATCATAGCCTTCACAGCTGTGCTAATAACCAATAGATAGACAACCAGCCTTTCCATTGTAAGAAAAATAGCAATCCTAAAGGAGGAAAAAAAAAAAGCCAGGTAAAGATATTTTAATGCAAAAAGTCATGCAGTTTACATTTAGACATTCACTATAGTTGTGGCTTTTGAACAAGCTAGACATGCCATTTGAGGTCTATTTTAAATTGTTAACACTGCTCTTCGCTCACATAGCTCTGTTCATCTTTCCAAACACAAAGGCCCGATTGCAAAGTAACACTGCCTTTTCACAGGGTTGTGGCAGCATTTAAAGTAGAGAAGGGTTTGGTGGGATGAATAATTAATAATTACTTACCAATATTTTTCGGTTTCAAAACACTATCTAAAATTTACCCATCCATGCATTGGAAGTTGGCATGGAAATTCTCTTTTTCTGTAAAATCAGATGTACATTCTGCCCAGGTAGGACAGGCGTACCAGACGCATGGCGCCAGGAACACTGATCCACCCTGTGGCCTACAGAAGTTTGAACATAAAAAGAAAACGATACCTAATGGACTCTGCATCTCACTGCCACGCACACAAACATGCCAGAGAACAAGATAAAAGGGAACAAACGTGTCAGCCACAGCAAAGGGGGGAAAATCCTACTCAAATCTTGGCTCTACTTTTTCCCTGAACGTCTAAGGCGACAATGGACTTTGCAGCACGGCAGATGGCCAACACTGGGGAGCGCTAGCAAACCGACGCGGAAGCTCAATTCCAAAGTCCGTGGGACTCCCTGAAGACGTCCTGCCAGACTCCTCCTTTCACACCATCTTTGACATTTTACAGTTCCCGGCTTCAGCTACGACTCCCGTTTCATTTGATGTCACAAAGCAGAGCGGAAGAAAGGTAAACTCCTTCTGCATTTGGGTCTTGTGACTTTGTAGATTCAATTTAACACCTGGCATCCTACCTGGGAACCCTGGCGTTTCCTGTGAAGAGCCCAGAGAACCAGTGCAGCACACTCCTGCTGGGAAACGCTGCTTAATTCGTAGGTACCTGCAACCTGTATGATCGTCAGTCTGAGTGGACTCAACCACATTACAATATAATACAAGAATCTACTCCTGAGCCGACCAAAGCAATTACAGCAAGGTCACCTTGTTGTCAGAGGATAAAGGTGCCATTTTTTTTAAAAAGTAGTGGCAAGTGAAAAAAAAAAGGCTATTTCCCATGACTTCTACTTGAGCATCCCGAGTCCGACCAAACCTAAAAACAGCACCATGTACGGCATGCATGCCTTTATTGCACACGGCAGTCACATTCCCTCCATCAGGGGTATCTACAGAAATCCTGGTACCTTTTTCTTTTTTAGCCGTTTCCCCTCCTGTATGAACAGATTAGGAATTTCTTGTGAAATCTTTTTTTTTCTAACCGAGTTTCATTCGGGAGGTGGTGAGGAACCAGATGTTCACTAGCAAATAATTAGGAGGAAAAATGCCTGTAGGCATTTTCGAAAAGCACAGTTATAGTCAGCCATAAGTACATGTATATTATTGTGTACAACAGGTAGCAGCATTGGAATATAAATTCTATAATTATATATATGTATATATGTTTGGCTACTGAAATTATCTCTGTGTAATCTCAAGTACTCAAAATAATTGCCCTTTGTATCCAAAGTAATTGTCTACCCTACCAAGGGTAGATTTTCATTGCTACTTTACATCCAGCTGGTTAAAAAATTGTCATGCAATAGGCATGACTCAACTTGCACATTAGTTTTGAACTCCTGTTTTACAGTGTAAGGGCTCAAATGATATAGCTTGCCAGGAGCTTCTAGACGACTCTGTTTCTATTCAAACTTCTTTCCAGGAAGAACTTCTCTTAAAAAAAGGAATGTCTTCCCAAATAAGAGAACAAATTTAATTTATTTCAAACATAGCCCAGCACGCTCCGGTGCCCGTCTCCCCCTGTCATTCTGCTGACCATAAATAGTGGTTCATTGTTCCACGTGATTAGGAATTACTGCTGTACATGGAGAAAAAAAAAAATCAGGGACAATTAGGATTAGACAGGACCTCAGGAGGTCACATCTAGTGCAACCCCCTGCTCCAAGCAGGACCAGCCCCAACTCCATCATCCCAGCCAAGGCTTTGTCTACCCGGGTCTTCGAAACCTCCAAGGATGGAGATTGCACCACCTCTCAGGGAAGCCTGTTCCAGTGCTTTACTACCATCCGAGCGAGAAAGTTATTTCCTAATATCCAACCTCAACTCCCCTTGCTGCAGCTTGAGCCCATTGCTCCTTGTCCTGTCGTCTGCCCCCACTGAGAACAGTCCAGCTCAGGAGCGGGCAAAGTCCAACCTGTGGGCCAGATCAGGCCAGTGGCGGTCTCCATTTCCCAGCAGCCCCAGCCCATGTGGCTGCGACTGGTTTCCATGGAAACCCCAGATGTGGCGGAGCCGTGGCACTGTGGGGCCAGGGTTTCCACGGAGATCGGCCCCAGAAGCGCTAGCAGGGACATGCGGGCAGCGGATCGTGGCTCTGCTCTGGCTCCAGACCACGCTGTCACCACTGCAAGACCCCAGCCCTGGCCCTGGCGTAGCTCCCCGCCCAGCGAGACAAAAGTAAAATAATAATTATAAAAATAATGAACTATTGCCTACTAAAACAATAGTGACAATACTAATAATGAATTAAAAATAAATTGAAGAGTAATGTATATCTTAACTGAGAATGGAATAAAATACTAAGTAATTTCCGGGAAAAATTTATAAAAAAGCACTTTTGTTCCTCTCCTGTATATTTTCAAGTAGACTTTGCAAACAGTTAATTGAGTCATACATACAATCACTTTTGAAGTACATCCTAAAGGCACAGAAAACTTCTCCTGAGACAGAATGTATAGTGTGTGTGTGTGTGTGTGTCTATCTGAACAGTCTCTATAAAAGCCCATTTACTTATTTAAAAAGTCAATTTTCTCATTTTCTTTTTACTTCACTCAGTTAGACATAAATTGCTGTGATTTCTTGGAAATTATGTCCATAAAAAGCATAACTAAATTCTCCATTTAAAAACATTTATGATACAGGGAGTAGGGCGCATCACAATCCTTGATGCCACTAGCATCTGAGATGGATCACGTTAAGCCTATGTTTCCCTGTTTCTTGATACAAATGCCCTATTTCAACCAAATTATATCTCAGGATAAGAGACCAAAACAAACCACGGGGAAACATGCAAGCTGCATCACTAAGAAAACGATTTGGAATTAATTACACGTCAAATGTTGCTAAAGCCAAATCGAAAACGAGCCTGCAATCTACTGTGCATTTGCTGATGAAGTATACCCTCCGCTGTTTTGCCCCACTTTTAAACCTCACAAGCAAAGGGGCTTCCACCACTCCTCTTGGTACACGTCCACATAGGCTCACAGGAAAGTAGGGCCGGGAAGGACCTCATAAGGTCATGTAGTTCAGCCCCCTGCTCAAGGCTGGATCATCCTTGACTAAACCTGCTCTTGAAAACTTTCCAAGCGTGGAAAATCCACAACTTCTCTAGACAGCCTCTTCCAGTGCCTGACTACTCTCATAGTCAAATTCCTTCTAATTGCCAGCCTAAATTTCTCCTGCTGCAGCTTGAAGCTATTGCTCCTATTCCTGTCCCCTACATTCACAGGAACCCCCCCTCCCCCATCCTCTCTGTAATCATCCTTCAGGTATTTAAAGACTGTTTATCAAGCCTCCCCTCAGTCTTCCCTTCTCCAGGTTAAATAACCTTAGTTCTTTCAGTCTTTCCCCATGGCTAAGTACAGACAGTGAAAACGCCCGAGCAGAATCGATCCATTCTTCTCAGGTTAGTCTAAGCTGCATCGATTGAACCCATAAGCAGGTGAACAGACATTCACTTTGGACTCCAGAAATGCAGCCCCAGGCCTGCAGTGGCCCAGGCCAGGAGCTGGGAGGTGCTAGCTCCCTGCTCAGCAGGAGCAGACAGCATAGGCCAAGGCTAGCCTGCTCACCCTGCAAGGGAGAGTTTGTAGGGAGGTGCATCCTGGGATGCTGGGGGACTATGAGTTAACTTGCATCTGGAGGGGATCTGGGACAGAAGTTCAATAAACCAATTTAACCTAAAACTGTTAAGTCTGATATGACATCCATCCAGGTTTATCTTATACCAGTTTTGGCTATTTTGAAAGCAGTTTCTGTGCACTGAACTTCTGTTATGTGCACTGAACTTCTGTTATGTTACATATTTGAGCTAGTTTCTGATCACTTACACCAGTTTGTGTGTAATTTCTGTCCCTAGCCCATAAGTCTAGTCTCCCAGTCCCCGGATCATTTTTGCTGCCTCGTGCTAGACTCTTTCCAGGCTGCCCATGTCCTTCTCGAAGCATGGCCCAAAACTGTACACAGTCCTCCAGGTGAAGCCTCAACAGTCTTGAGGAGAGAGGAAGAATAACTTCCCTTGATTTGCAAGTGGTGTTCCTGTTAATACAACCCAGGACACTGTTGGCTTTTTTTTGCAACAAGAGTACCCTGTTGCTTCAGCTTATGGTCCTCCTCTGCAGCACTGCAGCCCAGCCAGTCATTCCCAAGTCTATAGTTGTGTATGCAGTTATTCCATCTCAAATGCAAGACTTGACACTTGTCCTTGCTGAAGCTCATCCGACTGCGGACTATTTCCCCAGTTTATGCAGGTCATTCTGGATCCTAGCGCTGCCCGCCGCAGTTTCCACAGTTCCACCCAATTTGGTATCATCTGCAAATTTCCTAAGCTTTCACTCGACGACATCATCCAAATCATTAATGAAGATGCTGAACGCCAGACCCAGGACATATGCCTTGGGAGCCCCATTTGATAACTCCTCCCAACTAGACATCGAGCCATTGAGGAGTAATTACCAAGTAGGATGATCCAACCAGTTATGAATCCACCTTACAGTACTTTTGCCTAGTCTGTAGTGCCTTAGCTCGTTAACGTGTATGTCATGGGAGACCCAGCTGAAAGCCTTGCTAAGGGTCAAAATATACCTTGTCCACTGCTCTCCCCTCATCCACAGACCCTGCCACTTTATCAGAGAAGGAA